GTGCTGCGTAGAGCCAAAAGGGATGCAGGAGGTACAGTATGGGTGAGGGGTGAGGCTGTTCCAATTGTTCCCTCCCCGCTTCAGATATCAGACACGTCTCTCAGACCGACCCGACCAGTAAACTTAACCAATCTCTGTTTGCTGTAGTAAACACATGAATCTCTGATTAGGCATGAATGCAGTGCAACCCATCAGAATCCCCCATACTCCCACCCACCAGGTCTGAGAGCGTCCACACGGGCCAACTCTGCCCCAACCGGGCCAAACCGGCAACAGTTGGGCACAATGGTACATTATTTAAAAAAAGAAAAAGATGACAAGTCCTAAATAATAATAAAAATTTAAAAAAAAAACCTCAAAGTGAAAGCAATTAAATAAAATACGATTTCCCCAAAAAGTTAACTTTGTTCCTTTCAGAATAGTCAGTAGCCGCGCTGAAACGAGGAGACAGAACCGAAAGATTTGGGAATGAAGAAATGACAGACCCCCCCCCCCAAAGAAAGAAAATAAATTGGTCTCGGCTACAGATGGGGGGCTCTTTGTGCTACACCATGGGGGTTTATTTTAGTGAAAACATCTACAGGATGGCCCCTTTTCCCCTGAGAGATCAGTCCTTACAAAACTGTCACACAAACCTGTGGTCCTATCAGAGGGAGAAGAACACTGGCAGCAGCCCGCCCCCCCCTTACATACAAACATAGGTTACAACGCTCGATTTGCTGATACCCACACTGAACAAATGAACAGCAACGACTCTTTAAAAGGAGGGGGGCGTGTGGAAAAACAAACATTTTGAAAACTTGGATCTCAATGCCATTTTTTTTCTCTTTCTTACATTTGGTTCAAAATATACAAGGCAGACAGCTGATGTGGAGCTTTGCAGACAAGGCATTGAGGTCTCCCACAGGAAATGGTGCACTGTTCCACAGGGTCCCGCCAGGTGGGACAAGACCAGTCTGAGCCAGAGGTTTGGAGGTTGCAGATGTGACGAGCCGGGGAGGGGGTTAAAAAAAAGAAAGAAAGAAAAAAAGCCCTGCCATGCCAATGATGGACTGACTAGCTGGTGGGCTGTTATCAGGCCAGCTTACTGACTGACTGAGAGGCAGTTAAAGGGGAATAATGAATGTTCACAGGACAGGGAAGGTCCACAAAGAAGTGAAGGTGGTGATGGTGACTGTTTGGGAGGGTTAGGGCGGGACTCTCCTCTCTCTCCGTTTCTGCCGACGTTTACAACTCATCGTGTCCATCGTCGTCAGTGCCGTCCTCACTATCGGAGTCGTCCTCCACGTCTTCCAAGTCCTGCAGAGCAGAGAACAAGGGTTAGAGATTCAACAAAGTCCAATTTACTCTGTACCACAGAGGGTTTATAGCTTAAATATAAACTGTCAACATAAACCACTCAACGACATTAAAGGAACACTTTAATTGAAAAAATGCTGATATCTACTGATACAGTCAGAGTTAAAGTAAGACTTTGCTTATTGAGACAACTCAACAAATCCTGCTGCTGCGGCAAACTACCGAAAATAACCCCCGATGTCACCCTGAATCCCTTCATCACTAAACAAGACCTTGAGTCAACACCATCAGACACACAGCTCGCCATTTTGATGACATCTCTGCTTTACAGGGCATTTCTTCTGTCTAGTCTGAGGACAGGTGTGGTGAGGAGAGGTGTGGGATATGTGAAGATGCTAATGGTGACTGCTACGCTGCACGTGCTGCTTTTTTCCTGGAGGCTCAGGTCTCCAGGCGAAGCCCAGTGAACAGCGACAACAGCTGCAGGAGGCATTAAAGGACTGGGCTGCAATTAGACTTGTGTGAAGGGGGGGCGTGGTGGCAACAGTGGAGTGGGAAGGTGTCAGGAGAAAGTCTCACATGCTAACGTGCACGCCAGAGTGACACAGGGAAGTACGGTAGAGTATCTCTGCATACATCGAGTTTCAGAAACTTCACCAAAGTCTTTATTTTCTTCAAGTATTTGAATCCATAGATGTCGTAATTCTGGCTTTTATCCAGAAAATTTAAACATACATTTTGATCAGCTGCTTACATCTGGGCAAGAAAACAGCTTTGCCTCAAACCTGCACCCAGACATCAGATTATTTGGACATCTACATCCGTGAAAGCTCAAATGCGATACCGGCGAGCATCTAATCGATGAGGTTCAACGGTGACCGCAAGAGTGCCGTCTGTGCACTTCAGAGCACCTCTGTTCAGAGGATCTCACCTCAGGTTCCAGGTCATCGTCATCATCTCCTGCAGGGGCACCGCCTTCTTTGCCGCCACTCTCCAGGAACTTGGTGAAGCCCTCAAGTGTTCTCTCCCCGTTGTAGTCGATCACCTGCAGATGAGACGTCATTTCAGAAAGAAAACCAAGAAAGGAAGAGTCTCCTCTGACTGATGTGCATACTAATCCTCATCCAAAAGACTTATTTCCTTTTGGAAAACACTACAAATAAAATTGGAAATAAAATCGTGTGCACTGAAAACATAAATTTGATATAAATTTGTTCAAAGTTAAAAACTTTTCCATATTTGTTTCTGAGAAATGCACACAAAGCATTTAATTGCAAACACTGAGTAGATTTGCTTATTTTATAATGTCCAAAGCTGCTCTATATGCAGGACAAAAGTAAAGACAGACGGTCAACTTTTGGAAAACCAGCAAATTTAATTTTAGCATTTTAAATCAGACATAATCATGTCTGTCATTGCAGCCACCTCCAGACTCCGCTGCATGCTTCCACTAATCAGTGTCACAGGCTAATCTGCAGACTTATTATGGGGTGACCCTGGTATATAGCACTCGTTTAAGATTCCTGAGAGAAAGTGGCACGAGCATGCCTGGCCAATAAAGCGCAAGGCATGTGCAGGCCATCTTAAAGTGAGTGAAGCCATCGAGCAGGAATGCTCCAGAACCGCACACCAACAAAATGCTGCAGAAACCTTCAGGAGTGGGCTCATGTTTCTGCACAAGGTTAACGCTGCTAAATCAGGAGGCAGTAATAGCACTGAGGTGACCCCAATAGCAATGATTTCAGATTCCAAGAACTCAGCAAAGACATAAATAAGATTAGTGTGAGGGTGGAAATGGCTTCTCTCCGGCTCAGTGATCAGACAAGGGAGTTTCAGTCGTAACATGCCAACCGTTATTAAAACTGGTGTGGCGTTCGGGCCAGTGGGAATCATTTTCTAATGTTTATTAAAAAATATCAGTATTAGTAGTCATTTGTTTTTAACTTGGATTCATCAGCTTTTTTTTTTTTTTACCCAAATGTGAACATAAATCCAAATTCAACATTGTTCTGTACTCTGAAACTATTGACCGACAAATAGGCCAGTAGCTGTCCTGACCACAGTTTTACTGAGGTCACAGATCAAGGAAGGCCAGGTTTCATTTCCTTCTCTAAACTCAGAACGTCCACGTCAGCCATCTCCATCTTTTACATACAGTCTGTTAAAGCAGTCAGCACTCACCTTGCGCTCTTCTCCTGCAGGGAAGAACTTCAAAGTGGGGAAACTGTGGACTTTGACAGCCTCAATCTCATTGGCTGTGGAGTCCATTTTGGCTACAATAGTGTCGGCGCTGTCCTTGTACTTCTCTCCCAGCTTCTCCCAGATTGGAGCCAGCTGTTTGCAGTGTCCACACCATGGTGCATCTAAATCACCACAAAGATTATTAAAAGAAAACCAGAATTTTAATGGTGAATAATTTTTGATAAAAACAGTAACAACCATCAGCTCAGGGAAAACAATGTAACTTTTACAAAACTGGTTAAAAATGACACCCCAGGATGGAGTAAACAGCATCAGCACACTGATGCTTACCAGCTACGGTGGATATAAAGTGGCAGCTGACAAAATCCTTTCTGAAGCCACCGCAGGTTGTGTTTGAGTTGGGTTTGCGTGTCTGCAGCTATGTGCTGGAAGCCCGTCAATAGTGGATTCAATATCTAAGCTAACTTTAGCTAGTGTTGTTCACTGGGAGCAGAAAAGGCCCCGAGGTTACCTCTACCAGCCTGTGGACTGATTTTAAGGCCTTTCATCAAAGAGAGTCAAAGGAGGTTTAATTTTGTTAAAAGGTGTAAACTGCTCAGACACTAGCAGACATGTTTGCACTTATTTGTTTAGCATTTATTTGAAACCTCAAAATGTAATTCTATACTGCAGAAAGAAACTCTTTACTCAATATGCATGGAATGTTTTTCTTTTTATCTCAGTGAGTAAAATTCAGTTTGAAACGCTTTACAGTATAAAGCTAGAAACAAGTAACCACAGAGTGTGCATGCCATGTGCAGCCTCGGCTTCCTGACCTGGCTCTATCCTTTGGCTGGCTAGAAAACGCATCACCTGTCAGGGAATATGGGGCCTTTCCTGATGTTCATACCTCAACATAAACCAGATATGGAAAAAATGCTCCAAAAATAGTGCAAATCTGGACAAGGATCACTAACAAACAATCCTACAGCTAAATTTAACCAGAGCTTTTCAGCATCAAGTGTCTGGTAGCAAATTAATTTGCAGAGAGCGTGCATGAGTGAGCCTCGAGAATGAGCAGGTATCTGGCTTAGCTTGGGCAAAGCAAGACGATTTGAGTTTCAGACAAGGGGCTTTGCCAAAGCTCGCACCCAAGAGAGTGACTGCAAAAATACCCCATCGCCCCAACAGGTGAACACCCCCCCGACCTGCTTGCCCCACTTCTCATTTAAGGATATGGGAGATAAACACGCTGCACCATAAAATAAAAAAGGTTGAAATGCAGAAAGAAGGGAAAGCTCTTACAGAATTCCACAAAGACATTCTTGGAGGGATTGAAGGCGACCTCCTCAAAGTTTTTGCCGACCAAAACCTTGACAGGGTTTTTGTCCCAGTCTTTAGGGATGTCCTGGCTCATGAGGTGGGGCTGTGAGAAACAGACAATCACTTCTTTAAAAAGCGAACTGTGGTTTGGAGAGAGTATTTAAAGCACATTCCTACAGGCAAGGATCACACAGATACTTTATGGCATTAAGCGGATTAAGGCTGTAATTGCTTGTAAGATTCCAAAAAGATGTTTGCACTCTGGATGTGGTCATGCAATCGCCTTCACTATGTGATTTATGGAGACTATTAAGTCCAAAATTAACATTTCTTGTGGCCAGAATAAAGTCTATGTATAGCGGTGTCCCTCACCTTGAGTTTGCCCTCAGTGAACAGTTTGCAGAACTGAGTGATGCTTTCTGCAGTGATGGCGTCGCTCTCTGGCTTGTACTTGGTCATCTCGTCCTCCAGAGTGATGAGGCGGATGGCAGGGCACTCCTCTTTCTTCAGGCCGAAGAACTCCAGGATTCGCTGGTTGTCGTCAATGTCACTGTCGATGAAGATGAACAGGATCTGGACAGAAGAGAGGGCGGAGTCAGTGAATGATTTTACTCAAAATAGCCCTCCTGATGCGTGCGTCAGGGTGTATACAGGTACAAAGAGCCAAGTTTAAGAAGTGTGATTAAATGTTTGCCAACTTTGGATGTTTACTGGAGAAAAAACAAAACACCTTCAAAAAGAAACGTTTTTCACCATCTTTACCAACAACACATGTGTCTGCTTGGCTGAAAATACATTTTCAATAAAGTGTTTTCCTTGAGGTCACCATATAAAAAACACCCAAATAACACGTTCCTTCATTGCAGGTCACTGATGGCTGGCTCCCTTCTGCTGGACACTGAGTGCTGCACCTTATTTTCTAGCATGATGGAGAATACCCACTCTTCCGATTGAGTGATGTGTACCAACTCTCAAAATTGCTTGTCCACGTGATTAGAGATAACCTCTAACAGTTAGGTTGGCTAATATAGCCAGCCACCTATTGACATTTGTAAACACCTATAATGTCCTTTATGGGCAATAACTGCAGACTTTCTGGAAAATCCAGCATCTCAATCCCAAAAGAAACACCACACTGCTCTCTTGATGGTACAATTTTGCACTTTACAGTGACAGCTTTGCCGTACCTGACCCTTGAATCCCTCTGCGGCCTTCTTAAACTGGTCCATTTTGTCCTGGAAGTCTGAGGCAGCTTTGGGCAGGAACATGAGGATGTGGGACTTGATTTCTCCGCCGAAGATTTTAGGGGCAGTCTGGAGAAAACAGTTTGACACGTGAGGAAAACATCTGGAGTGCGGACAGCATGATGGTGTGAGAAAAAGGGATCTAAATGCTGTGAGCAGCCCCATCAATTACCTGCTCGGTGAACTCAATGACCAGGGGCAGCTGGTTGGCCTTGACAAAGGACTGAAGCGCTTCTTTGGTCAGCTCACCATCGAAGGTATTGCGTCCCTCATCAAACTGCAAAGGAAACATAGAAACATTATAGTTGCAAATATTACCCACCTGGTGTCACATCTAGTCTGCCTGTGAACACCGGACATAGATTTCCCAGACAGAGCACTTTAAAGTCGCCCGGTAACCCCCAGCAGACCGAAGAGACTTTTATCGGTTGTTAAGAATAGCAGTGGTGCAGCTGTGCCAGGCAGCTCTTACTGGCACAATAGCAGAGAGGAAATTTGGCCTGTGGCGTACTGCCAGCCTGAATGGCACTGAAACTTAAGCTCCAAAATCCTCGGTCAAATAAACAAGTGAAAGACTCCCAGCTGTTTATTAAAACCGAGCCCCTGCTTTGGGAGCGTTTGCTTAAGAGCTGCCCACATGTCCGCGATGTTTGTGCCAGTATGAAGTTACCAACAGGTTTCAGAGGCCAGACAATGGCACGAGGAGGACTAAGCACTTGTACATGTGCCAGATCACCCAACACCCTAAGGGCCGAACACTTATGTTGTGAAGTTGCTTCATGCTGCAGCAACAAGGCCTGCATGAAATTGTTTGTTTGTTTTTTAAATTACAGATCACCTCCCAACTATCAAACAAGGACAGAGCTGCCTGTTATTAATTTATTAAATACACACCGATGTCAGAAATAGGCCAGTAGCTGTCCTGCAGTGCGTGGACTAGGGCTGAACGATATATCGCATTTGCGATAATATCGCGACATGATCAAGTGCAATTTTCTAACCGCAAAGGCTGCGATTATACTCTGGACATGTCCAAATTCATGGGCTGCATCCTCCTGAGGCCGCATTTGTAGACCGATTACGTCACAGCGACGCGCCGAAGGCTGTCCAAATTACTACCATATCCCAGAATTCATAGCACGGCTGGAACTCCAGTTTCCAGCAATGGCGGCCGCTACTAAGTTTTGAAATTACTCATACTAATCTTTCTGGGTCACAAAACAAACTTTTAACATATTTTCAGGCGAGAAAGTAGTTGTGTAAACATCAAATATCTGCTCGGTTTATCAAGATATCCCATATTTGCAAAAGTGCTTCGACGTTTTCAGAGGCGTCTGCTACCCTCCGGCTAGCTCGACAGCTAGCCGCAAGCTCGAGGGTTACTGATGCGGCCGAGAACGGCACAACTCCCGGCACATCATTTTCAGATCACCGCGGAGTTTCGCTGCTCGGGTTAAACGTAATATATAAGTCACTTAGACAACCTAAAAATGTTATTGTTGGGCTTTTTTCAGTGTTTTGTTTGTTCGTGAGTAAATCGGTTTGGCTGAGATTAAAGTTATTAGATTAGATAAAATAAAACTTTATTAATCCCCCGGGTGGGTTCCTCCTTGGTTTTCACACAGCTGACTAAACGTCAAACAGAAAACTTATTAAACAGAAGTATGAGACAGTCGAGAATTTACACCAGTGTCTGGTTATATTTTAGATAGCAAGGAGCACACGGCTGAGTTTATTGAACTCCACCGAGACAGCGATGACGCTAATCAGAACTAGACCGTCTAATTTCACGCCTTTAAATTTTAAAGTCGTGTTTGTGTGTGTGTTTATACAATTGCTATTATGTTTGCACTTTATGTGTAATGTTACTGACTGCAGAGATCAGTAAGATGTGTGTATTTTTTATTTATTAGTTTTATTTATTTAATATTATTTTTTAATTGAATGACTGTCTAGTAGTTCACAGATGTCGAAAAACTGAGTGTGGTAAAGCCACTGATTTTTTTTTATGTATATTTCTGCAATCTGCACATTGTACTGACTTTCATTTTAATGTTTACACCAGGGTTCCTTGTCAGCACTTTATGCTCAGATGTTTGTAAGCTAAAAATAAACTATTGTGTATGTTCAAATATACTGTTGTGATTGAAGAAGTTAAATAAAAATGTCAGTCATCAATTCATGCATCACCTCATGTCATCATAACAGAGGTCTGTCTTCCAGGAAAGAACAGTTTAAAATTAATGTAATATAGTATTGGCCATACTATATGATGTATTGCTTGTCTTTGTTTAATAATACAGAAGACAAAGACCTTAAAAAATAATCGCATATCGCATCGCAATCGCAATATTGGGGCAAAAAAATCGCAATTAGATTATTTTCCATAATCGTTCAGCCCTAGCGTGGACACACACGTGCAGTGTCACAGTTTAAGGTTAGATTTGAAAATACAGTTATTGTGTTTGCAAGATTACTTTCCATCTATCAAGAGATAACGCTGCTTTCCTGTCTCTGCTGACAGCATAAAGCTATGAAAAACTCAACATGCCATTGGTTTAGAAACCTGAAGCTTCAGATAATGTTTCCAACAACATTAAAACTGAAGCGTTCTAGTCAATTAGTAACACTTTGCTCCGAGTGTTCATATTTTTTTTTAGAGGTGGCTCTAAATACTGACAAACTGGCAGCACTCGCAGGGCAAAATGTTCGACACCAGCCAAATCCCCCCCCTCTTTATGTCATTTAAAATCTCGGCACCTTGTTTGTGTTAACATTGTTTGCTGTGCTGCAGCAGTTTAAGTTTATACTTCTCTGTTACATTTGACACTTGTTAGCATGCATCTGTGCACATGTGTTGTACCATCACAATTTACAGATGCAGCTATCTAACCGAGCTTCCTAGTGTCAGCTGTTTGTCATTTCAGCCGCCTTTGGCTCCAAAAAACTAACATGGCAGCAACCACTGCACCAAGGGTTAGTCCAGAAACCAACGCAAGGCATCACAGCAGCTTTTAAATTTGAGTCGAGTTTCCAGGATTTGCTCATAGTTCAGATTTTGCTGTGTGAAAATGTTTCGGTTTCTTGAGTTTCACTGTTGATCATTGCTCAGGGGAAAAACTCATGTAGACGCCAAAACATCTGAATAAACACGTTCGACAAAGTGACCAGGCAGGAGGTGCTGGCACATTTTACCAAACTGACAACCACTAAAACTAAAATGATATGAACTACAGTATTTTAGCTTTAGGTACACATTACTGTTTCAGTTTTTTCTAAACTCTAGTTTGTTTTTATTTTAGTGAAAATGTTTTCAAACCCATTTTTTAAATCAAGCAATCTGCCATTGTTTTTACATGTTCTTTAAATTTGAGCTCTTTTGAATTTATGTAACTGACATGATTTTGAGGTTAACATTGACATCATGTGAACACGCTCGGCCAATAAAACATCCACAGACTTTTCGTAACTGATATTTGCATTGTAATTGATATTGTAAATTTTCAGCGGTTTTCATTTCCGTAGGTTCCTCGTGTTACATGGTTGCCAACGCACCACTTCTGAAAGATCCTCTGGACTTTGACTCAATCTGATGAATCAACAGGCTGACTGTACTGCAGATAACAAACTGATCTGACCAACTGCACATGAGATGGCTGTAGTTAATGACCTCTTGTGTAAATTATAGTGAGTTTTATTACCTATACAGGCTTATAGGAAGGCATTCAAATTACATGCATTCATCCTCTGCCTTTAGCCAACGGGAGCTGCTTGGAAGACAGACAGTAACCTAACAACATGCACAGCAGTGAGGGCGAGCAAAGTGCACGTCTTAAACGTTCAAGTAGCTCAAACGAGCCAAGTTTAGCACCGGAGAGCGGATACTGTGGGTTCAACAGCATCAAATTACAGAGGTGTGGATCAGAGACACAGCTGTGGCGTCTTCTGCAGCTCCACTGTAAATACTTACACATGGAAGTGCGTTTCACAGGCACAAACAACATATTTACAATGTATTCCGATTACACCTCAGACTGAGAAACAGCTTTAGATGAAGTCAGTAAGAGAACTATGTCTTCCTGATGTCCTGTGAACACAGTTTGTCCACATGTTTGTGTACAAACAGACGCAAGAGAATATTTGAGAGTCACCTTCTTGAAGAGGACAACGCTGTCCTTGGACACTTCAAACTTGGAGTAAATGGCATCGCTGGAGGTCTTGGCGAAGGGAATGTCATCTATGGCCTGAGCTGCTTTTTCATAGGCCTGGGCACCAGCAGACTCTGCATCCTAAAAGACAAACAGCAATCCTCTGACTGAAACTTGCAGTAGCTTCAACCTCTGCTTTGATTGCAACACGACAATATATGTATATTTTTAAAGGAAAGGCAGGAATTAGGACTAATCTTCTGCTTTTAGAGATGATACCGTAAACACATTTCACTTATAGAGATCCGAATCGCACCTTGAAGAATCCGATGACTGCCACCTCATTATCAGCGATCAGAGACTCTGCGTCGGTGACCTCATTCAGGGTGGCGACGGCGGGCCCTGTGCGCTTCTTCAGCCAGTTGACGATGTCATCCGCCTGCCTGCCAGCTGAAACAAAACAGTAATTCAGGCTTTTTAGTTTGGATTTCAATAGAAATAGCTGATCTTGAGTGGGGGGGGAAATGGGTACATGAATATTAATTTGAAAAACATCTATGTGCCTGCCTCTTCTTTGCCCACCTAGTTGAACCAGAGCTACGAGTCAGAGCAGTGCTAAATTTCATTACATTTAGATGAGCTGTTAGAATATTGTTGAAAGCAGTTTTGTAAGAGCCAAACCGTTACCCAAACACAGTCTAACTTTACCCAGCAACAGTCTTAAACAAAATGAAGCCAACACCAGTGCTAAATACCATCAGTTCCTCGACTGGCCATTAAAGGCTCCATTAATTCCCATAAACGTCCAACTTCACAATACACAAAAAAGGCCCGTCAGTAAAGTTTCAGAAATTTACATTTTCATAAATCTTACATGACACAAATTACCTGGGATCTGTGTCTGTGCAGCGCACCTGTACGTTTTTATGAAGGCAGCTTGTCAACAATGAACACTAGCATCAGCTGATTACGTGGCACTCTACCATCTCAACCAAGCATGATTATAAATAAAAATAATATACCGGCAAACAAAATACCAACTTCATTCTTTACATTGCATGCATGCATGCTTTTGTATTGGGGACATACCCTACAGTCTGTGTATAAAAACACGTGCATATTTTATTTAATTTGTCCTTTTTGGCCTGAATTTGTTTTCGTTACAGCAAACCACTCACGTCATCAGGAGTTTTAAGAAAGGTGCAATCTGCATGCTGAACAGGGACAATCACATTTTTAAAGAGTTTATTCTCACAATCACATTAGTAACACTATGCCTAAAAGTTCAATGCACCAATTAGTTTTAAGTACAAAACTATTTAAAAAGCACCAATGGATCAGGCAGACCTTGAAATTTTTTGGGGGCGTGAGATTGAAGTGAATTTGCACAGCACTTCCTGTGGTCACGTAACACACGGAGGCAACCGACTCACTTTATGGGTGTGAACACTTAAGCGCCTTTGCCAGTTAAAATTTTTGCACTTCTGCAATTTCTGAAACCTAACTGCTCTTTACAACTTCAACTCAGGCTCAGTCGTTTCCCCTTTCATATTCAAGTACCTCAGCAGTTTAATCACCACACAATGATTGAAAAATATAAAACTGTACGCCACATTTGTGAGGCTGTTAAAACATGTTTACTTTCTGTGGGTTTTACTTAAACTGGACTTAAAAGAGGCTGGACCTGTGATGCAACAGCAGTTTCACTATGAAAACGATGAGGCGATTCAGCACGTAGTCTTTATGCAGCACTTTGAGGTTTCAGGCAGTGCGTGGGAGGCGGCTTTTTTTTTTTTTTTTTTTTTAAGGCAGAGTAGTCGTTTCCACAAAAGCACTTCCCAACCTGCTCTCTTCTCCTCCAGCTGAAAACTGAGTCAGGCCAGCAGAGGAGACGTGAAGAAATGCACATACCTCGACCACGTCCCAGTGGCAGCGTGAGGGGAACGTGCGGAGCAAGGCCCGCCCACTGCCCGTCTAATGCAGCCGATTGGCTGGCTCATGTTTAGGCTGCTGTGCAGATCATATTACTTAGGAGTCACTCGGGCCCGGCTTCAGCAATTTAATCTAAACCCCTAACCCTGTAATAACATCATTTTTATGACATAATAGTCAGTCACTATGCTCAGACAGAACTTACTTAAGATTGCATCATTTCAGAGGCAAGACCAATTCATCAAAGAGCATTGAAGGAGAAAAGTCACAAAGCAGCAATGCACCATCAGCTCAGTATTTTAGCACCAGCTGAGAAACATGATGAATGATGCTAAAATAAATACTATAAAAGTAGATGTGTAGATGTGATTCTTGCTAAAGCTAAAAAAATAAATAAATAAAGTGAAAGTCAACAGTTTCTAAAACTACTACAAGCTACTTTCAGGTGCTCCCTTATTCACAGGAGATCGTCACAGCGGGTAACTCTGCACGTTTGACAGATTTTTACACCGGTGCCCTTCCTGAAGCAACCCCCAGGGGATTGGTGTCTCCTCCCAATACTACAAAGACAAGTATTGTAGATGTGTAACAAAGGATAAACTTCAGATTTCTCATCAGTTATTCCCAAAGTGTGTAGTTCATATAAATTTCATCATGAGGCAGAAATTAAACTAAAGGATGAACATTTAGGCTATCAGTTTGTGTTGTGCTGTTTCTATTATACTGCATGTAAAACAGGTCGGTGGAATGAACCAAATATTCATACCAATTTATCTTCTTCACATTTAATTAAAGTGTTCAATTATATATTTATGTTTTTTCTGGTTGTTGACACTTCAGAAAAACTAAAAACAATTGAAATAATAAATCTCTCCACATGAAACTATGATACGACCATCTGGTTTAACCACAGGATGATTAAAATTTACTTTAAGAGTCCTGCAGCTTGCCATCCTTTATGAGTCAGCTACTGTTAATTAAAGCTGATGTTTCTGCTTAAATATGAAAAATGATCATGTGATGGATGAATCAGGAAGGACATTGTGTAACTGATAAGACTCGATCAGGAAGCTGACGTGGAAGTTTGTCATCTTTCCATAAGTCCATCCTTCCCCGAGCTGACGGGGACCTATGCAAGTAGTTGACTAGATGACTAAACGTTACTGCACTCACTACACTTAAATTATTCTTGTTTTATAAACAGCATGGATGTAGACTTCTTTCTACGAGGGCTCTGGTGATCCTACTCCAGAAATGTTTTAATCCACCGTTCTGTTTTATATTAGGCCGTTTGCGTATTTTGATTTGGCAGGAATCCTGCTCGTGTGTGTATACGACACCTGTTCACAGCAATGAAACTTCCTAATTATTTAACAAATTTTGGCTTTTATTAGCTTGTTTATGCAACATTTCTACTCCTGTACAAAAGATCTGAGCCTTCCTTGTGTCTGTGTTTTGGTTTGACTTTTAGAAATAATGTTCTTCTGATGTTATCAAGTCTGAAAACAAGGATAGGCTACATTTAGCATGGGGGCCACAAACAAGAATACCAGTAAACCCCCAGAAACAGTCACTTATAACTTAATTGGCTTTGACCTCTGAAAAAGTCCCAATGCTGGAGCTTCTGTTCCTTTATGTTTGTCATCCTGCTAGAACAGAGGCAGTACAGACACTGATAACCAAAGCAGATTCATGACGGTCATCGAGTACAGACTCACTGCTGAAGGAAACGAGATGCTTTCTCGTTTTAATAATCATTTATGCTCGCTGTTATAGTGCGAGTAGCCGCTGCAGTATGCTCCTTAATGACACGTGTCACCCCCAAGGTAATATGTCCCTTGGTATAGTCTGAATCTCTGAACTTTAGTACAGATATAATTTAGAAATGGACACAATCACCTCTGTCTTTAATCCAGCTGCAGTGGCACAAAATGCCAAGTTACAAAGGTCGAGAGGGCCACGACCAGCTGAAATGGCAGCTTGACAGCGTGTGTATGTGAATAACTCAGTGTTAACCGTTTAAATGCTTCCACCCCCTCCCCTCACTCCTATTTTAATTACTTGGAAATCAGCAGCCAGAAACAACTATGGTCCACCCCAATTTTTAAACTAAAACTTATGAATGAAACGCATCCATCCCCACTCACCTGAGTACTCTTTGGGAGATTCCTTGTCTCCACCCTTGAAGAACTTTATGGTGGGGTATCCCCGGACGCCGTACTCTTGGGCGAGTTCTGTTTCCTCTGTGGCGTCCACTTTAGCCAGGCGGATGTCTGAACTCTCTGCCTTCAGCATGCCAGCAGCCTTGGCATACTCTGGAGCCAGGGCCTTGCAGTGACCGCACCATGGGGCATCTGAGGAAACCACACAGAGAAAGGTTTGTATTGCTACCGAGAATGATATCAGATCATAATGGTGGAAAACAAAAATGTGACAAAGAACAAAAGACCACATGAGAATTTGTATTAATCAGCAAATTAAAAAGCTACATTCATCCAAACTATCCATCGGCCATTTCCGCATCACCTTCTGTCCTTGGGGATGATTGATAAGATTTAATTTGTAGTCAGTTCTGACTATAGGTTTTTTAGAGAATATTTTACTGACACCTCAGTGCTTCTGTGATGAAAACTATGTAGAGACTGTAGAAAGTCTATTGAAATAGGACTTGGATGTTCAAAAGCTCAACTGCAATGAGCCTGATGTCTTTTTGCAAAATTGTTGCTGTCAGAAAACGACAGCAGCACTGATGAAAGTGCTCGAGTGCCTGGAGGCATTCGATCCTGATTGATAGGACACTCCAAAGTGGTTCTGAATTTCCATCCCCATTTCATCTCTTGGATCCAGCTTCACAAATTTGTACAATTTGATTTTTGCTCAAGGATGGTGTGTGAGTGGGATTAAAGTATTTGAGTCTCCCTTTGCTTGGCACAATGGGATAATAAAGAGGTTTTCCTAAACAATCAATTCTGTTTATCATCATTTAAACAAAAAAAACAAACACGGCCAATATAGTGTCCTGTTATTCTATTGTGAAAATATCTGAATGTTTTGAGCAACTTAAAGTGAAATCAGCAGGTTTCTTAAAGGATGCTTGTACTTTTAATGATTCCCTTAAGGATCCATAATATATCTGTATGTGGATAAGGAGGGTAGGTTGGTGGTTCAATCCCTGACTCCTTCAGTCTGTATATTAAACATCCTTAGACAAGATACAGAAATCAGAGTTAAGACGGTGTGAGAGTGCCTGACTTAGTGTGGCTCATAGTAAAAAAATACTTTGAATGCCCAATTAGAAGGCACCATTGAAATATCACTAATTTACCAAAATAAAAAATAAAAAATAATGAAACTGGGAGGTGTGTGTGTGGGGGGGGGGGTTTATTGCAAGAGCAAAACCTTTTCCAATATTAAAGTTGCACATTTAAATGTTTCCAGGATTAAAATAATAATAATAACAACTTGAAGACTAAGATCAGATAATCTTAGATTATAAAGACAATTTTGCTGAAGAACAAAACCTTGTGTGTGCCTCTCTCCTCTTGTTTCACGTTCAGTCGCGAAGTGTACTTATACACTTGGAACCGATAAACCTGCTTATCAGAAAGGCCACGTCAACTAATGACCTCATTTTTTAAAACGTATTGACAAAGAACTAAACTTCCTTGTACCACTCGGGTCATTACAAACACACACAGTTGAACTTTTGTAAGTACACGTCAACCTAGCTCCATGCACGCAGAGATCCCGCCCAGCTGAGGAGGACGTGGGCAAACAAAGCCCTTCATCCCTCCCATCCCGAGAGCCGACTAGTCCAATCAGCTGTCACACACTTTGTGAAAAAGGTCAACAATCAGACAAAAGTGAAGCGGGACGGGCCTGCAAAGCCCAAACTAACCAGTTTAATAAGCCAATTCAATCGGGAAATGAATTATCAGGAGGTGCAAGAAAAGCGAAAGCTACCGCATGAAACCGCAACAGCCGATCGAAACCTATCTTGACCCATTTATCTGCTCTCCACCATCCCAGCTTCCCTGCATTTTACAATTTGGCGACTCAAATTAGGGGGAAATTTTGTATTAATAAAAAAACACCTTATTAAAAAAAACTCGCTATATTTCCCCGATTATAAGATACGCTAAATACTCAGAACTAACACAGACTTCTCTAACTTCAGAGAAGACTCACTGCCTTTTGCTATGTGCACAGCAACTTCCTCAGACACCCCCAAAGGCCCAATTTGAGGCGTGCAAAAAACCCCTTCGTGGCCTTAATAATGCTCTTAAAGCAACAGATGTATCTTAAGTACGGCACTGCACAATTTCTATACAATTCACCAGAGATAAAGCTAATTTAAGGATATACTATATTCGCACAGATGTTACAAACTGGTTGAGGTTTGCAGAAAATAAATCTGAGGGTAACAGCCAAGTTTTGCCTCCGCGGCAGAGTCCCGTTACACTTCGGTGTTAGCTTGACTACTTTTACCATCACAGCGAGAAAACAGCCCGATGATCAAGGCTCTCTGTTTCATTAAAGGAATAACTACAGCAGCTCTGTAGCTCGGTGAATTACAGTCACGCATGAACGAAAAACCAAACCCAACGTCGGTGAGTTAGCTAACCAGCAGCAACTTATCTCAAGTGTCAAAGTTTAATGCTAACATTATGTCAGGCTTAACTCGGCTAGCTTAGCTCTGCACGAGCTGAGACCGCAGCGGGAGGCTTAGCTTGAGCTGGAGACATTTTAAAAGCAGTCAGAATCACTTACAGAACTCAACCAGGATGTTGGGGTGAGCCTGGAGAGCCTCGTCGAAGTTACTCTTCTTCAGCACCAGGACATCTTCTTCCTCGGCTATCTCAGCGTTGATGGCCACAGCCAGTGTGCAGAAAATCAGAAACTTCAACATCGTCGCCGTCGAGTTTTCTTCCCTAAAATAGACGAAAGGTTCGGACGAGCTCGGCTACGGCTGTGGTGGAGGAACAGGTGTTAGTTTCAGGTCCGTTTCCCCTCGTTTAAGGTTGGGAGAGTAGCTGGTATTTTGTGTCTACCGCTACTAACGTGGCAGTGCACGCAGAAACCGGAGGGTCAGGCGTAATGCGCATGCGCCTTTATGAGGCAGAAAGCAGTTCGTGTTGAATTGTGACTGGATCGCAGCGGGCTGCACCTGGAAGTGAAAGAGAGGCGCTCCCTGCACACATCAGTCCGCCGAGAGCAGGAAAACTGGATGGGAAGCTTTTAACTACCCACACTTTTTAAACAGGGAAACAAACTCAACTATGTAATCATATTTTATAGATTTACTTTATTAGAGCACATTACAGCGCACGAACCACGAGTGCAATATGTGAAATACAGTATAGTGAAACATCGGAATTCACTGAATGCCTTTTCTTTTTTTCGGCTCTTGGCTGTGGGGTGAATATGAGTGTAAACTGATGCAACCAGCTGGGGGTTGGAAACTGGGTATTTGCAAAGAGGACAGAGCAAAGTCTGAATGACTAACGCTTATCTGCCACACTGATTTTTTACATTAACACCTCCATTGCAGCCTGGTTTGACAACAGAACTGAACAAATAAACGGAACTTTCTGTACTCACTCTGGATAATCCCCAGAACGCTGTGTCAATAGTTGGTGAAAGGGAAATCTGGTGGGATGGTGCTACAGAAATCTTTGCAATGCACATATTTTAAACCAAATAAAACCAAAACTGCTGCGATGGTGAGATACAGGCATACATGAGAACATTACTTGTGAAAATCAGTCATTTGAGAAAATTTTAGTGTATGTTTTACAACCTTCTTTACTAAGAAGTCAGGACACACTGTAAAATGTCAAGAAAAGTGCAATGTGATTATCTGTAAATTATCAAAAGCCCTTTAGTTGATTCAAACCAGATGAAAGACAATGTTTAAAGTGAGAAGTGTTCTTTTTTTCAAAAATCATGCTATTTTAAAAAAAATTCCAACAAAACATTTTAAATATGTTATGAGGCATGTTTACCACTGTGTTGCATCACTGCGTTCAGGAACGGATGGACATCAGTTCCTGGAGATTCGAAGCCAAATGTTTTCACATTTTTCAGTGCATCTTAATTCATATTTATTGCTTTATAGTTGCAAGCATGCAGTTTAGAACCCAGACACTCTCTTTTATTGAATATGTGCAGAATGAAGTTTTGCATTGTCTTCCTGAAAAGGTGTCATCTAGATGAATGCCATTATATGTGGTTGCAAAACCTGTATGTATTGTTCAGCAGATTTAGTGCCACGTGTACTAATGCACCCGCAGTCACAGATACTGGTTGTTAAACTGTGTGCTAGTAACAAGCTGGATAGTTTATCCAGCTTGTTACTATATATATATATGTCAGCTCATCTATATATATACTATATATAGATGAGCTGACATGAGCATTAAAAACAACCTACTGTAGAATAAAATATTAATATAATTATTGTGACAAAACAAAACTGGCTCAGAGGGTAAAGCATGCACCATTGAAAAGGGGAAGTAGTTAAAAAAAAGAAAAAAAAAAGAAAATGACATAAAAATAACAGCCTAAAGATTGTAGAAATTTGTGTTCAATTTTTTTTAAGTATTAATTTTGTAGTTTTAAATGAGTATTCCTGAAACACTGCTACGATTTCCACCGCAGAATAAAGTGTGTTTTCAGTGCAGTTCTGGCTGAGGGCCTGAACATCATGGCCAGTTAGAAAAGTTAACAGGGAATCTATACGAAATTGCCACAATAAACTGGTGAAATTGACATTACAAACCTTTTCCTGAAGTTTTTGTAAGTGCTCCCTGTTGGTAGTCAACATTGGAGTTACATGATTTTTGTCTTAGCAGCACAGATGAGTTCACTAGGAGGAAACATCTGCTTCAGACATTCATCTTTATGCGCTCCAAGCAGACATTTTGGGGATTCTTAAAAGAATATAATGGCCAGACTGCTTCAAGCTGATGGTTACTTCAACAGTTAAAACCAATAACCGCTGGTTACAACCAAACCTTGATGGGCTACAGCAGCAGTAGACCACACCAGCTGCCAGTTTCTTGTTCCTAGCTGCCACACATGTCAGCTAGGAACAAGAAACTGAGGCTAAAATTCACATGGGCTCAACAAAATTGCCAGACTGAAAAGACTTTGCTTGATCTGCTGACTTGCGATTTGGATGGTAGGGCCACATTTTTCATGTAAACAACATGAACGGAGGGATCCATTCTGCCTTGTATCAATAGTTAGGGCTGAGTATTATTTAAACTCAACAGCGTCCCTGAGTATTGTTGCTCACCATGTCCATCGCTGCATCACCACAGTGTATTCATCTTCTGATGACTGCTTCCAGCAGGATAACACACCATGTCACAAAGCTTAAACTTAAAGTGTCCCAACTTTTTTGGAAACAGTGTTGAATTTGCTAGTATCAGTAATTAATAACCATATTTTAAATATTGGCATTAATAGGATTATTTTTAAACTATCATTTCAACTTGGTGCTTTTTTAAACAAAGAGACGATGCTTGGTTAACTGGCAGAATTTAGACCTTTACTTGAGAAAGCCACTGAAAAACTGTGTTACTGCAGCTTGAGGCACAAACAACAAATGCTGCTGAGGACAAAGAGAAAGTTAAAAAGTTCAAGAATATACGCAGGACACTGTGGCATGTTTTTATCACAGAGAGCGAACTTCATCTGCAGGTCGCTTCGAATATTTTACATAAACAGATATGTTCATGGCACCACAGGGTTTTTTGGATATACTATATGTTGCAGGTGTCTGTGCAGTATAATATATGAATGCTTCAGTGAGGAACGAGAAAAGCAGTTCAGCAGGTATAGTCGGTGCTTATGTTTGGAAACACAGCGGGGCAGGTTCGACTGGTGGAGGTTAAGAAAACATTTTAAAAAGAGGGTGCAGCCAATTCTGGTGAAACCATAACGCAAACAGTTAAAGATTAGGAAAGATAAATATGTGCACACAATCAAACAGGCAGCACGTGTATTTTTCTTATTATAGGTCACCACTCGCTTGGTTAGACTCCCAGATTGCTAAAGCAATGACATAACTGTCACATCTTCTATCACAGTAGCTACAGGCACACGTTTATTTTATACAATCATACAAAGCCGGTACTTATTTGAGGCCAAACTGAAATACATAACCCATTCAAATGCAGAATAAATGAACATCTGGTGGTGAGTAAGCACATAAAATGTAACAATGTGGAACATTATATCTAAATTATAGGGTCTTTCATAGCTCAGACTGGTCTCTGATAGAGAAGAGTAAATTGGTAAACCACTCACAACTTCACAACTTCCACCAGTAAAGGATTTCATTAGGAAGTATCAGTGTTGTCGAAAAAAGACGTGATCCAGAAGTATTTAATGTCTGGGGACTCAAAAACACAAAGAGACTGGTGTTTAACCCCATAAACACCCTGAATTTTTCAAATGTTCACATTAAGAACACTCCCACATTTGTTCTGTAACAGGGCCTCAGCAGTAAGTCCCTAATAATCAACTTTGGCAGAAGTTTGAGATTAAAATAAGTAATCTTGTCCCCATCGCTGCGTTCGAGTGAGAGTTTTAAAACTGCTGCAAAAATAAATTTCATTCTAATTAAACAGAAGTGTATGTTTGACAGTAGATGTAATGGTTCTAACGGTGATTCAGTGATACTGACACATGCCACTGGTCCTAAACCGTTTCTAAAAAAAAGAAGGAGAAGCAGCACAACAATTCTGCACTCATTTAGTCACAGTAATACAAGCAGGAGCAATAATCATGCCACACTCTGGAACCTTCGAAACAGGGTGGCAGGTTGACTTTTTATAATAGATATGACCTGATACTGCACCTCCAGTGTGGAAACAGTCAAAACAACACAAGCTGATATAAGCTGACAGACTATAGTCTATATATGGACCTAGATCCAAAAATATTAGATTCTAAAAGACTTATAATAAACCTTGATAGCTTAATTTTTTACTGTTAAAGAGTCATGTCAAATAAAAATTGCATTAGAAACAACTTACAGGACTACACATAATAAGATGACTTATGATGACCAAGGCAAAAGTCAGAACATTATCCAGACCGGCTGATGTGAGGAGCCTCTTTATGCCGTAATATTCAGCTCTATCAGAGCTTTCAGAAAAGTCACTTTCGCAGTTTTATTTTCTGACATGCTTACGTAATCGCTGTTAACGCCTCTAAGTTTCCTCAGAGCTCTCTATCTGATAACCGATGAACGTGGGATTAGTTCCCTTCTGTCAGTGACCGCTCATGTTTTTCTAGTTTCTAAAAGTAGAATGGGAGGCAGAGCCTTCAGGGATCAGGCCCCTCTACTCGGGAACCAGCTCCCAGTCAGGATTCAGGAAACAGACGCACTCTTTACTTTTAGGATCAGGCTTTAAACTTTCCTTTTTATTAAAGCTGATGTTAGTGTTGAATCAGGTGACCCTGAACTGTCTCTTAGTTTCTGCAGAACTTCCCATGATGCACTGAGCACTTCTTCACTCACCTCTTTTGATTCCTCAGATGTTGATACATTTCTCTACACCTTACTGGTCACTGCAGATGGCTGCCCCTCGCTGAGCCTGGCTCTGCTGGAAGTTTCTTCCTATTAAAAGTGAATTTTTCATTCCCTCTGTCGCAAAATGGTTACTCATAGGGGTTCATTTGATACCTGAGGTTTTCTCCAGAATCCTGTACAGTATAAAGCACTTTGAGGTTACTGTTGTTGTGATTTGGTGCTATATAAATAAACTCGATTCAGTTTCCTGGCAGCAAACCTTTCTGACTAGAGCAGTAATGTTTGAGCATATTAGTATTCATCCATAACCCTCTTCATTCATCCATGCATCTCAATTATCACACAATTATAAAGTGACACCCACAATTTATGGATGATGTTAACCCACAGTATTTGTATACGAGGAAGTGACTGCAGGAAACAGTGGACTGTCCGGTCAATATTTCAGGAGGATAAAAGATTCAGTGTGTGCTAAAGCAGTGATACTGGTTAAACAAATACTGAATACACAAAGCTTTTCAGTGTCTAACCTCTCACCTTTAAATTTTGTTTCCTATAAGGAAAA